CTTTCCCTGAATCTTTCTGTGGATGTCTCTTTCTTATTCCTCAGGACTCCGCTCAAATGTCAGCTCCTCAGAGTATCACTCTCCCTCAGTCACTTTCTATCCCATTACCTCATTTTCTTGACAGCAATAAAGAAACAAAATAGTTTAATAATAGTATTTTAGATGATCTTATTTGCTAACACGCTTGATGTCTTTCATGCGAGACAGAGCTGCATGAAGGCAGAGATTTTGTCTTTTTTTTTTAATTGAGGAATAGTTGATTATGTTGTTATTAGTGTTTGTGCCACAATCTAAAGAGCACCTGGCACAGAATATATATTTGTTGGACTGAACAGTATCAAAAACTGTAAGCCCTTGAGGAATAATACCATGTGTTACATTATAATCCCCACCAACTAGCTGCCAATCATCTTTACAGTAATAAACTATTTTCCACCCACATAAGTCTGAAAAAAATAAAAACCACTACTCACATTTGTTGTTGTTTTTAGTCCATCCATCACCTTGTCTTGTAATCTTCCTTTTTTTCTAATTAAGTTTATCCTGCACAAATGAAATATTTTCACTTTTCAGATGTGGACTGGATCTTTGCAAAAAGGGTTCAGCAAGTTTCTAAAATAGTGAAAGGATTTTCAAAAAAGCCTTTAAAAAGGTGAGATAATATAAATCTATAGCTTCTTCATGTGACAAATAGCCCTGGAAATAAATACAAACATGCCATCCTATTAGAAGGTTTAAATAAGTGAGTCTTTGAAAAATAAAAATAAAATAAATTCAAAATTCTGTAGTGTTACTAAATCTCATAAGATCCAGCTTGTGATTTCATAGTTGGAGTGGTTTTAGGACTAGTTTGGGGTTCTGAAACTGGGACAGATTCTGTTTGGTCCAGAACTCTTCAGTAAGCAAACATTATTGTGTCCTATTAAGACACACCTATACGCCTCCCTGGTAGCGCAGTGGTTGAGAATCTGCCTGCTAATGCAGGGGACACGGGATCGAGCCCTGGTCTGGGAGGATCCCACATGCCGCGGAGCAACTAGGCCCGTGAGCCACAACTACTGAGCCTGCGCGTCTGGAGCCTGTGCTACTCAACAAGAGAGGCCGTGATAGTGAGAGGCCCGCGCACCGCGATTTAGAGTGGCCCCCGCTTGCCACAACTGGAGATAGCTCTCGCACAGAAACGAAGACCCAACACAGCAAAAATAAATAAATAAGTTAATAAACTCCTACCCCCAACATCTTAAAAAAAAAAAAAAAGCACCTAAAACCAATCAATTTCTGGAGGTGAAAATAAACAAATACACGCAAAATATTTTCCATTCCTATTCGTCTCTCATCCTCCTGTTGGATTCTTAAACATTTATGCTTAGTTCATTCATATAGTTCTCACATTTGGGGTTGTAAGGGTAAATACAAGTCTAAAATAATTAAATTTAAAAATCTGCCTGATGCCAAAAAGAACAAAGAACATTACCCCTTTTCATTTAGCAATTCTTTTAGAAAAATAGAAGCTATAAATGATTTCTCTGAGGTGTATGTACACCTTTTAAAAAGCTAAACAAGCTTCTTGCCAGTTTTGTACCCCCTTAAGATCTTTCTTGGGGGCCTTTGAGCTATCTCTTTGAAATGTGAATATCAAGGAGGATGGTGCCCCAACTCTCTGTCTCTGTGGGAGTTTAAACCTTGGCTTTTGGCTCCAAGATGTAACTTCCTATTTTTTTTCCTTGGGAGAAGGACAACAGGTATGTAATTGATTGCATCTGTCTGATTATATAAACGAGTGAGATTTCTTCTCTTTGCAATCTCTTTAGTGCATCACAGTATGGTTTAATGCTTATTCTATAATAAAACTATTTCATTCTTTTCTACTTTTCTATATTTTGTGGAGAGGATGTTTTGGGCGTGGCAGGAGAGTTTATTTTTAATTATTTCCCCAACTGGGTCCTCCAGTTTTGGCACTTGCATGGCTGATATTTCCCATTGCCCCTCCATACTTACTTTAGGCAGTAAAGGATAGTGGAAAGAGCACGGAGCTTTTGGAGTCAGAAAACCCTGAGTTTAAACTGTTCTTTTTTTTTTAGTAGCATTCTGAGGTATGAACAAGTTACTTAACTTCTCTGAACCCTGATTGCCTCAGCTATAAAATGAGGATAATACATTATAAGGTAACTAAACTGACACATAGAAGGTTCTTTACACATGAAGGAAACAAAGTTAACTTAGATTCCTTTAGCATACTAAACTTTCGTCCTGTAACTCTGTCAAACCCCAAGGTAGTGTCCACGTCATTAATCTTGAGCACACTGAGTGATGAGGCAACGAATCACACTGCGGACCTCACGAGTTTAAAAAGTTTTAGTTTGTAAAGTACGTTAACAGAACAATTGAGACGATGCAAAGGGATTAGATCAGACTGCTGGGGTCCCCGTATGCAAATACCTTAATTACAGGCGCGCAGAGGCCGCTGCAGCTTCCGCACTTCCCCTTGAGTGCGCTCCGGGACGCCCGCCGGCGCGGGGGCGGGGATTTGCATGTGCGAAATCAGGAAGAGGGGGAACCACCCAACGAAAACCCCAGCTGTCCTTACCCCAGGCTGGGAGGACGGGCCCCACTTCGCCGCCCGGCCCGCCCCCAAGTGCTCGCGGGCGGCCGGCCCTCTAGACGTCACTGCACCCTCCCACCCGCTCCTGAACTTTAAGCCACGCGCCCAAGAACACCCTGGAGGAGGGGGATTTCTCAGGAGCCGGCGGCTTTCGCACGCTCGGGGCCGTCACCTCCCGGCTCCCAGCGTTCCCTACGCTCCCGAGCTCGCGCTTCAGCGACAAGGTCCCAAGCCCACCGGGGCTCCGGGACAGCGGGCGGGGGCGGGGCACGGGCGGGGCACGGGCACGGGCGGGGCGGGGCGCGGGCCGCTGAGGGCGGACGCACGCGCGCTAGTCGCAAGGCGCTCCGCCCCCGCCCCAGCCCGGGGGGAAGCGGCGGTGAGGAGTTTACGTCAGCCGCGGGAAGTCCCCTCCCGCCGGGCTGTTCGCCTCTCGAGCCGACCTGCCCTCAGCTGTAGCAGCGCTCCGCCTCCTGGCTCCTGCAGCCGGGACGGGCAACGCCGGGTGACCGGAGCGCGAGAATTAAGCGGGTGGGAAGGTGTGAGCCGCAAACCCAGAGGAGGGCGGGAAGGAGGAAGAGGAGGCCCCGGGGGTGGTCAGGGGGACTGGGGATCCCGCCGGCAGAGGTCCCTTGGCAGCCTGACTGACTAACGGGCTGATTGACTGCAGCGGCCTCGGGTCCGGACGCTCGGAGCGGGGTGGCGCGGTGAGCTGAGCCATGGCCTCAGGTGAGTGTTCTCGGCGCGGGCTACCGAGGACCGGGCGCGAGCCTGGCCCTGACGGCGGGGGCGGGGGAGGAGCGCGTCCGAGGGTCTTGCCGCTCAGGGTTTCGGGCGCTCAATTTTGTTTGTGACTCATTCTGTCTTTAAAATCGCCTCTGGCAAACTGTCAACCTTTTAAAAAAGTAAGCTGGTTCAGGGTTTGCGTGCGAAATCAAAGTCACGCTCTGTAATTTGATGCTATTATAATAGCCGGAGCCTTAGAGTTTCCCAAAGACTTGGTTTTTGGATTAGGGAAGTAATAAGAATCTAAATAAAGGAGGACGAAGATTTCCTGTATTTAAAAATTGATTTAAATTGAAATGGTGGTTTTACGTTTTAGAACAGAAACGAGGAGCCTTCCGACCTCAGGAGAGGTCTATCTTTTTTAGTTTAATTTCATCAGTTGCCAAGAGGTGATCGCTGTCGTGCTGACAGTTGGACAAAATGCGGTGCGGCTTTAAAAATCACCAGTGGTATTTTAACAGATCTTATGTGGAAATGTTGCTTCAACAAAGTGAATCATTTTTACTGTAAAGTGCGTACTTTCTAATTTATGGAACAGAAGTCGAGTTTTGTTTTGTTTTCCTTTGTTGGAAAGAAGGGGAAAAGAGGATTTTTAGAATCCCCGTGCTTTAAAATATGAGTAAGAATGAAAACAACTTTCTATCACTTATGTGAATACTTACTTTTAGTCAATAAATGCATGGATCTCTTGCTTTGGGGGAAACCAGTTTACCAAGAAACTGCTTAAAGGGTGAGGGAGGGAGCCTCACATCCAGCCATGGTTTAGGTCTGCCTGTAATCTAAGGGAAGTAAATCAGGTAGACTGCATTCGAGTGGGACCTTTACAGAAGTCTGGCAAGGTTTATGGGGGCACTTTCCCGGCAGAGGGAGCAGCGTGAGCAGAGGCTGGGGGGCCTAAAAGTGTGCATTAACCCTGTGCTAGGAGGCTACAGAGGGAGGCTTGTTTATGCTTGACCCGCATCCTCCCAAATCCCTGGTTCAGTGACCCTCAGTAGAAGGCTGATGACTAGCAGAGAAGAGGAAGTAGAAAGCATAAAGGACTTTTTTTTTTTTTAAAGGGTTGAGCAGAACAAAGCCATAGCTAGTGCTGTAGGCTGAGAAGGAAATTGGGGTGGTTCACATGACATTTGATTTCAGTTTGTCTGTGGTTTTCATGTGAGAATACAAATGTAGTTTAACATATTTCAACTTTCTCTTTAGCCACCTAAGTGACCCTGAACTTTCAGATAATCTTGTAAATTCATAAATTCAAATTTATGAATAAATTAATTAAAAGTGACTTGAAACACTTGGTTAATTTATTGATTATCAGAAAGATTTTGTATGAAAGTTAAAGAAGGGCCAGCATTATAAGAAAAAAAATCAGCCTTCTGGTAATTTAACCAAACTTTGTTCCTATATGGCATGAATGTAATACTCCTAGTTCTTTCAAAGGAGAAAGAAAAGAATTAGCCATTTATATAGAGTATCCTAAGACCCACATCATTTAAAAATGTGATACAATTTAAACTTGTTTAATGACACTATATTTTGTCCTACTGTGAGGACTGATTTCCTAAATTGAAGGGGAAAAAATTTAAAGGAGTGGAAAGTTGTAGGGTAATTTTTTTTTTTTTCCTGTTTTTTGGAGTTGCATTAAAACGGGACTGTTTAAAATATAACAAGTTATTTAAGTTGTAATTCAGTTGTCTGAAAACTGCTGAGGAAAAGTCTGGGTTTCCTTAATCACTCAGTAAAGACCTTAGACAAAAAGATTCACAAAATTATAAACTCCCATCCTGTTTTGAAACAGTAATTTAACCGAAAGAGTAACAACAACGACAAAAAAACTTTTGCTTAATTAGTTTATCATTGTCTAGTTTAGAGTCTGTTTGTAGTAAAGTTGTATAAAACCTCAAAAAGTATTTTTATTGATTACCAAGCATTTAAGACCATTTCTCACCGGATGTAATATGTAAATAGGTGTCTGTAGTTGAATATATGATCTGTATAACGTGAAAGTAACAGATCATTATTTCATAAATAAAATTGTATAAGTACCATGAATAACTGGGACTTTATGTATGATTCTAAATTTTGTTCAATTAAATTATATTATTTAGCATTTCACAGCTCAAGTTCTATTAAGCTGTCTTTATTGCTTTTCTTAAAAAAAATTACACCTTGGTTCCACTCTTTTGACACAATTAATGAGGACAGGCATTAAGAAAAATGTTCTCAGTCCTATCCAAGGTATGCATAGACAGTCATTACTCTTGTATATTTATGATTCTATCCTGTTTAATATAAATAAAATTAGCTCTTTTTTTGTCTGAATTTAAATCTTCTCATTGTTCCAGTAGAAAGTGCAAATGTTCCTGTGTGCGCATAGCTCTGTTTACTAATAAATAGTACTGTCTTTGGTAAAATATGTTTTAAATTTTAGGTAATTTATTTTTATTTACAGTTTTAAAAATTATTATTTTTTAAATTGGAGTATAATTGATTTACAGTATTGTTTAGTTTCACATGTACAGCATAGTGATTCGGATTTTTTTGCAGATTATATTCCATTATGGGTTATTACAAAATATTGGGTATAATTCCCTGTGCTATACAGTAAATCCTTGTTGCTTATCTGTTTAATGTATAGCATATTCACAATTTTCTTTAGTATAGTTCTGCTACATCACATAATAGGAAGTACACAAAGAAATTGTTATCGCACTACTTACCAACTTTGTAGTGTAAATTGCAAGAGAACTCTTTGTCTTGAGTAAGGGGGAAAAATCAATATAGTAGGACACAATTTAATCTTTAATGAAAAACTGGAGCTGGAACTGATAGGTAAAGACAGTGATTTATTTTTTTTAGTAGAAGACTGAACACATAAACATGAAGGCTGCTTCAGAAGTGCAACACATGAAAATGTAGAGATAACAGTAGTATAAAAGAATTAAGATGATATATGATAGACATAGAGTGAAGGGAATGAGCAAGTGAAATGACTAGGGAGGAATCATGATGACTCATAATTGGGAACATCTGGGGTGTGTGTAGTATCTTTCTCAAATATAATTTGAGGGACTCAGAATTTCCTTCTGTTCCATCTTTCTTTCATCTGTGTTTTCTGCAAATGATTGTGTTTGTAGGCACATGACCCAAATAATTGCATGGGATATACTTATAGTAAAAAATTATTTGTTTAATTCATATTTAAATGGGCATCCTATAATTTTTATTTTTAAATCTGACAGTCTTAATCCAGACAGATGATTTGGCCCTGACATCTGTTTTTAATTTAGTTTATCTACTTTTTTCACCCTGGAAGTTAAAATTTTTTTTCAGGACTTATTCTTCCACCCCACACCCCAACGGCAGTGGAATCTTTAGCAGTAAAATCTCTTTGCCAAAATTTTTTACATATTTTATTTACCTTGTGGTGCATACATCAGTCAAATACTCATCTGCAAATTCCCTTACTTGGATTCTTAAAGCCCAGATGAGAGAGTCAGCCTGATATATTGGAGTAAACCTGGAGTTTAGTCCATGATGGACCTGGGTTGGTTTTTATTCCAGTTCTGCCACTCTATGATTTGAAAATGGGTATAACTACTGCAGAGTCTTAATAGGAGCAAATGAGGTAATGCATGCCCATAAATGTTAGTTTTCTTCTGTACTGGAGCTGTTTTGGGACTCAGACCTCTAGGAAACAGGAGCTCCTAGAAACACTTGGCACTTAATACTGTTTAAGTATCCTGATGATTCTAGAATTTTACAAAACCTTAAGGTTTCATCAAAATAGACTAGACCAGATGCTAGATAGAAAATATATCTTTCAAGAATATGTAAGCATGCCCATTTACTTTTAAATAATTTGAAGTGGTTTTGTGTATATTTAAACTAGGGGAGTAGAAGTTGACAGTGATGTTTGGAGGCAGTCTCCTTTGTCCACTTAAATGATAGTAAGCATTCTGAAGAAGAAAGTAAATAAAAAATTGCTTAGTAAATAAACCACTGTCCTTTTGCTAATTTGATTGATAAAACTTATCCTTCCTTTGATTTCTTTTGCACCTTCTGTGTTAGTCTTTTTCTGTCTTTATGGGAATAGGCTTGAGTTTTCCTTGCCCTTTTGTTAATTGGATACAATTCTGTGTAGGAAGTGGTAACTCTAAATTTTTATCATAATTGGGAAGAAATGGAAAAACTCACCTGTGTCTTAAGGTAAAGAAGGTCATCAACATAATTCAGTTGGGTTTGAGGAAAGAAGAACAGGTCTTTTCTTTTTCTCCAAAGTGAGTAGAGGTGATATTTAGAAAAGAATATATTGGTAACTCCATTTGCTCCTTTGGGTGTAAGGCAATCTGTTATCCTGTACTTCAGTGAATGAGATCCAGTCTCTAGTCAGTTATTCAAAACTGTGGTGTTCACACATTGGCATGCTGTCTTGTAAGAAGTGTTACTGATGATAGTTAAAATATTAATTTTGTAAAAGATTTATTTTAAATATCAGTGCAGTTGAAGGCTATCTCTGTAATTGTGCTTTTTTTCTCTTGCTTGCATTTGGGTAAGCTTTTTAGACTGGGAGAGAGTTACAAGTAGTCAGAATTCCTCCACCTAGTCTGTCCATCACCCAGCTCATCCTTGTACATGAATGTGGGGGTTGCTTCTCCAGATATGTGCATTGTTGTTTCCCCTTCTTTATGTTTTAGGGCAATGGTTCTTAATCAGGAGTGTGTTCAAATTGCTTGGGAAGTTTTTTTCAGAAACAAGTCTGGGCTTTAGATGGATTTCTATCTCTATTCAGCAGATCTCAGGTGGGGTCAGGACATGTATGTTTTTTGAAAAAGCTACCTAGGTGATTCTGATATATAGCCCCAGTATGAACTTTGTTCCAGGAATTTCATTGCATCTAAATACTCACTTGTCTGTGCCAAGATGCATTATCTTCTTAAACTAATTTG